AGTTTGCCCGTTTTTATATCTCTGTGGAACGAAATTACTTTAATTTCAAACAAACATAAATTTTTCCTAATACCCTCGTTCAACTAAAATGGGGGAAAAAGTATATAACACAGCGAAAGTGGATTCTGATATAAAACAACAAAATGGTCATGATATAATAGGCATTGACGAGGAATTCATACTAAATGGTACCGTACTTACCTTGGTATGGTAAGGTTTAACCAAGCTTCATGTGAATAAGATGTGTTTTCCTGCCCTGGTACGTGGCACCAGTGATCTGGCACTGGTACTTGGAACAGCAAAATATTCATCTGTGGTTTAGTTTGTAAAGAGAGAGAGAGGCAGAGAGAGAGTGAGAGTAAGAGTGAGAGTGAGAGTGAAAGTGAGAGTGAGAGTGAGAGTGAGAGTGAGAGTGAGAGTGAGAGAGAGAGTGAGAGTGAGAGTGAGAGTGAGAGAGAGAGAGAGAGAGAGAGAGAATGGAAAGATCAACGAAATCAATAAATCTTTTTTTATTCGTTTTGTTGTTCTAACTATATTTTTCATCTTTTTCTTTAATATTCGCCAGCAGTAAGTAAAATTCAAGTGCATAGTAAGACAATATACGCATGAAAAAAATATTTATTTCAACAATAATTTCGACCCTTCCAAATACCAAAAATAAAGTAATGTCGGCCCAAATACCGAAAACAAGGTACTTACTGTCATAGCGGCAAGAACACTGGTAGGGCAAATGATACCCAATAATACCCGCCGCTGGTATGGCCCGTGGCTTCCAACAATGGTCATTACATCATCGAAGTCCTTCATCTTGCAACGAGTCCGGTAACACTGAAGAGAAGACAAGGTGTGGGTTTTCAGTGTGGGTTCATGTGGAAATAGATTGCTACGCACGCACGCCCGTACGCACACACATACAGGCACACACACACACAAATACACACACGCACACACACACACACACACACACACACACACACATACATACACACACACACACACACATACACACACTGCCGTCCGTCTGCCCCTGTCCCTCTCTCCCATTATCATCAATCTATTCGAATCACATGGTGTCATTTGTCAGCTTCCTTACGTACATTCCTTTGTCCCTCACACGTGTCCACTTTATTTTAGCCATTAACCTTTCCACATTCCCTCCACTAATGACTTCCACTATCTCTAAATCCGTTCCACATCTAATTCTGTGAGCCTGAATTTACACTCACTGTTATAGATTCTGTTCTACAGATATTTATGTAAAATAGTGTATTGCAATTTTTCCAGGAAATAGATTGAACACTTCACAATCTCTTCTCCCAAGGAAAGTATTAGATTCTCGTTTGATATTAACTTATTAATCAATTATCATCTTTATTTGATCTATATCCACTCCTTCCTAACAGTTTTTCTCTTATACAAATCTCGCACAGAAAACATTATAATCTTCGCAATCACACAGTATCACTTAAAAATTATTTCCCTCGTTTTCTTATTTTCTTCTCGATAAAGCCATTGTACTGTACTTTCATATTGTCATTCTTAGTGTTTCCTTCTTCGTTCCTTCCTATTTCTATCTTTGTCCTTTTTGCTCGCACCCACATTTACCTTTTTGCCTTCTGTATACTTCACTACCGTCACGCCGTCACGACCAGTCTAATCCGCTGTCCTTTGCAATTTCTTCTCAATTATATCTTTGTCGTTTTTGCATGCTCTCACATTTGCCTTTTCTTTTCTTCTGTTTCCTTCTTCATTTCTTCACGCTTTGCCCCTAGGAACTTCTTCTTAATTCTATTTTCGTCCTTCTCGCTTGATCAATAGGAATCTGTGATGTAACTAACTCCTTGGCGAGGCGTGTGATGTGTCTCTACATTTCTCAAAGTATAATGAACTACCTTGAAGCGAGGTCCCTTAGTCTATTACTATGCTGTGACACTCTGGCGTTCAAGGACATTAAATATTCCTAGCTCTCTTTTTCTCTGCCTTCCCCCCCTTGCTCGTTGTTGTTGAGGGGGAGGCGGGAAAGGGGGGGGGGGTAGGAGATGGAGAGGAGATCACCCCTATCTTGGACCTCAGCCCTCGCCTTAATTAATTATGTATGGTCTTTTCTTCTCCCACTTTTCCTTTTACTTCTCTTCTTCATCATCGTTTGTTCACTTATCCTAATCGTTAACTCTTTTTTACCCTTTTTCGCCACAATACTTTATCCTAGTGCTAGATGACTCTTGAAGTCTAGCGCATTCATTTGCTTTAACCATTAAATATTCTTCTCTGCTAATGCTTATGTCGTCGCAATATCAACGTCTGAACTAGGGTTTTTAGAGGGTAGGCAAACCCGCTATTCATGTCAGTCACAGTCAGTTTATGCTAAGTGCTAAGATAATTTATAGCCCCTGACACATGTTCTTTAAGTCTTCCTCGGGTTATAAAGCATATATTTCCATATATTTGCTTTGGCAGAATATACATATACTTACTAGACTCTATATTCATGGCATCTGTCTGACTATCTTTCCACTTCTTATGTATGGATAGGAAATAGACTGACAAAATTACACTTGATCTTCTATCATCAAATCACAAAAGATACACACCTCATTTGAGAAATCAATACTTTTCTTATATATATTAGTGTGTGTGTGTGTGTGTGTGTGTGTGTGTGTGTGTGTGTGTGTGTGTGTGTGTGTGTGTGTGTGTGTGTGTGTCTGTGTGTGTGAGCGCGCGTGTGTGTGCATGTGCATGACTGTGTATTTCATTTTTTTCTCCTCTTCTTTTATACAAAAGAATACGTAAAAAAAAGATGCAACAAAGTTTGTACTCTGCGATTGTGTGCAAATTCGCTAAGAAATCGCCGCCGCCACCAACACGAACGACGTCAGGGACCGGTGGCGTTCTTTTGGGGTACTTTTAGGCCCACTTCACACGGATAAAAAAATAAATAAAAATGGGATTACAGCTTGAATAGGACTATCCCAGACACCGAGGACGGCCTTACACACCATCACGATGTGTAAGGCTTACGCTTATGATGCAAGAAAGCTAAATCTGAATTCTTCACTTTGAAATCATGATTCTCACAATTACAAAATAAAGGAACTTAGTTATTTACGTTAAATTCTATCCTTATGTATACCACCATCATGTCATGAACAAACCAGGAGAAAGCCCATAAGAAAGAGGAAAATGATAAAATGTAATAAAAAGGAAACAGACCGGGTAGATAAGCAAAATAGTTGATAACATACATAAGCAAGAGATTGACTAAAAACAAAATCCCCAGATGTGAAACCACTGCCAAGAAATATCCCCCGAGCAGGGCCGTCGCGGCGGGGGTGGGGATGGGGATGGGAGGGGGGTGACCCACCCTGAAAAAAGCATGTCGGCAAATGAAACCTTAAACCTGCATTTTTTCGGCAAATTGGTAAATTTTGACAATTTCTGCTGCTAATTAGTCGGCGCTCTCTACGTTATTGTGTGACTAATAAAGCCACCAATGCCCAACGCCCAATGACCACGCCCTTTGTCGGCAAATTTGAAACATTATACCCCCCCCTGCAATGCTGCCTTCCCGACGGCCCTGCCCCCGAGTTAAATTAATGGCGCTTATTTTTCTTTTTAAGTCTTGTTGCGAGCTGACCTTCGTATAAAGAGGATGTTAGTCTTTTACCAAATAACCAGAAGGTCAGTGCTTAGATCAGCCAGGAGAGTTTACTTTAACAAAATAATATTACTTTTTTAATGGTAACTCTTTCGTCTTTCTGGATTTCAGGCCTTCAAGCAAACCTTTGAATTCGGGGCCAATTTACGTTCACGCCTATTTATTATTCAGTATATCGATACTTACTTTTTCATCTTTGCGTAAACAGCGAAATTTTGTCCACACTTACCTAAAATCGAGCGAAAACTTGAGACAAATTTTGGACTGTGCAGCTGCACTCGTCTGCCCTCCACAGTGGCCCGTCCCTCACTGACAGTGCAGCTGTGTCGTCTCTCTTAGTGCTATTGCATGAATGAGAGTGACTATTGTGCGTTTTCGTTTTTTTTTTATTTTTATTTTTTATTTTTTTTATTTTGCAAGATTCTATTTTAAGATTTCTCTTAGAGTGTAAAAATATCCACTGTATTTTTCATCAGCTGTGCGTGTGAATAGCTTTACTGTTGTTATTTTTGTTCATCTTATCATTATCATCACCATCATCATCAGCAGCAGCAACACTATCACCAATCATCATCATAATCTTAATCATCACCATCACAATCATCCTCATCATAATCATCATCATCATTACCAATCATTACATCATCATTATTATCATCATTATTGTTATTAGTATTACTTGTCTTCTTCTACTTCATCTTATTCTTATTATCATTATCATTATTATTATTGTTATTGTTACCATTAATCATAGGAATGGTATTTTTATTATCATTATTATTATTAATAGTAGTAGTAGTAGTAGTGGTAGTAGTACAATTACTACTATTATAAACATTATATTCACTATGGGGGTTATTATTCTTACTATAATAATTATTATCATTACAATCAACAAGTATTGTTATCATTATTGTCACTATCATTGCCCTTCGTATTCTTGTTGTTTTCATCCTTATTATTATCACTGTTATTATTATTAACCTAATTATTATCATCATCATTATTATCATTATTATTATTGGTCTTAGTATTCTTCTTGTTCTTCTTCTTACTATTGGTAGTATCGTTATCATTATTATAATAATTATTATTTTCATTATTATAATAATCATTATTTTCATTATTATAATAATTATTATTTTCATTATCATGAATATCATTATTATTGTTATAGTTGTAGCAGTAATACTACTACAATTATTGAATCAATATTAGTATTGATATTATTAGTGTTATATTTTTTTATCATAACTATTATTATTATCCTTATCATTACCAGCATTATTGCTGTTATTGCTATTATACTCTTTATTATTATTATCACTATCATCATCAGTGTTTT